CTGGATCATGGAGTCGGAATCCAGAACCCCAGTTGCTAAAGGCTGCACCATCAACCACTGCCAATCGAGTCCCCACACAGTGTTTTTTCCCTTCTTGTCCTCCTCTCCTTGCTTCTGCCTGCCCCGGGGGTCGGGGGCAGGGGGACGGGGCTCTCCATGCAGCTGCATCCCCATCCCCCACAGGCAAACGCACCTCCCCTCCGTCTCTCCTGGGGCCAAGAACAGGGAGCCCACCCCTACTCCCTCCCCCATTTCACTGCCCTCTCCCTTCTGTAATTAACATGCCGTAGAGCAGAGCCGGAGGACGAAGTGTCAGGACAGCGGAGCAAAACCTCTGGGCTTTGATCCTGGCTCTGTCACTCTCTAGCTGCAGCGACCCTGACCAAGCGGTTTAACTGTTCTGTGCCACGCCTACCTTTATGAAAATGGGGGTGCTGGTAGCCACCCTCAAGGGGTTGCTATATTAAATTATTCAACATGCATTAAGCATTTAAAACAGCTTCTGGCACATAGAAAGTGCACAGTGTGGCCGTTAGTATGATTATGAGACAATCGTGTGAGGCCAGGCTGCTGATCCTTTCTTGGGTCTGTGAATTGAGTAGGGCTTTGTAACTCGCCTCACGTTGGAAGGATGGAAAGAAAACATCCTCAGGCCTCTTTTCCTACCTACGTATTGTGGCCATTCATTAACTGAACCTACCTTTGTTGAGCACCTACTAGGTGCCCAGTCGGTGGTTCTCAAAGTGAACCCCAGCTCTGCAGCACCAGCATCGGCTGGGCCCTTATTAGAAATGCAGATTCTCACCATCCTCAGCCCCCTTTCACCCTTCTCCCAGGATTTTCCGAATCAGAAACTCTGAAGCGGGGGGTCAAGCAACCCATGTTTTAACAAATCCTGCAGGGGCGTCTGATGAATGAAAGTGTAAGAGCCAGTGCCCTTGAAGGAAAGCACTGCCCCTGCTGGGCCCCAGGGAATATGAACACAAATGAGACCCTGTCCCGGACCTTCAGGAACATGCATGACTACTGGGAGAGACGGATCTGTGAACAGGAGCAACCAAGGGCTCTGAGAGGTACCGGGGAGACGCTGAGCCACAGAGGAAGAGTGGCCAGGTGTGCATTCTGCGAGGAGGGTTTGGAAAGACCTCCTGAGAAGCAACGCTTGCACGAGTCATAGGAAAAGACTGGAACCCTTCTAGCTCCACTTGGGGAGGGAGAAGACACTCATGGGGAGGGGCCTGCATGCCCAGGTGCTGGGCAGACCCGCACACAGAACTCAGCCCTTGAAAGTCAAGTCCTAGAGAAGAAGGGTTTGTGTTGGGTCCCGTGTCTAAGCATGACTGGCACCCAGAGACTCCAGTAACTATTGGAATGATTGGACACAAAGGTCCTAAATTCCCATGTATTGAATTTTCACTGAGTCGCTTCTTTTCAGCATAAGATAGTAAAACAAACAAACCTATGTGTGAGTTTTCTGCTTTATGGCTCCATATTCCTGAAGGAAGTTGCCAATGACTGGGTTGTTGAACAGGCTGTGTCTTAACGCATGGGGTGGCAGTAAGATGCATGTTGCCACGAAGTCTACCTGGGTAGCTCAGTGGGGCCCAGAGCACTTGCTTGGTACAAGGTTTCAAAGGTGCAAGTTTTTCCAAATGTGCAAACTATGCATGCTTTGTGACAACATCGGTTTTTACAATAGAAACCATGTCAGGTTCCTCATTAAAATGTGAAGAACCAAATGTCTCAGCGAGCGTCCTCCCTTCTGCTCTGGTTAAGGTCGACTCTGCATACAGAATGGCTGGGTCTCGGACTCTGCTCGGCATGTGCTCGGGAGCTGCCCCATGCCAGATGCTCGCTCTCCTTTCTTCTGGATGCCAGGGCAGCTTCACAGCATCGGAAACTTCCCCCTGGGTACCCCGGCATCTTCACACTGACCCCCGCGACAGGCCTGGGGGCCAATTCAAAAGGAAGGACTTATGCCAAATTAGACCCCAGCGCTGAGGTTTCCTTCCTTTCAGAGCCACTTCTAAGGGAGCCGTCCTGCGGGATTTCCTCCCAGCCTCCCCGCCGTACCTGGTCTGGCTTTGCGTAACCCAGTTAATTACATCCCTGGCCAGCTTGCTCTGGCCTCTGATCTGACAAAGTCTCTGAGGAGTGCTGCTCTAACCAGTGTTCCTCATCTAGCGGAGCAAAGATCATAGGCATTTCAGAGGAAAAGGGACCGTGGAGACCATGGGCAACTTCCCCCTGACCCCACAGCCCCGTTGCTGTCCCCTAGGAACATGAGGCTTCCAAACACTGAACACGCAAATGATGAACGGGAATTAAAATACATAATATTCCTGAAAACCAGAGTTGAAGTGGATTTTCCTTTACTTCTCTTAACAAATTTGATCTTTTGGGGGTTGAAAATAACCCCCAAAATTAACATAATAAGTGAAGTCACATTTTAGCTTTTCTCTCCGCTTGATCTCTGAGTTCTCCGCTCTGCAGTAATACTTTACGGGTAAGCAAACCACCTTCCAGTGCAGGAGAGCCATTACCACAGCGCAGCTGTGGCTGGAGGGTGGCTCATGCGTGTTTTAGAAGCATAGCCAATGTCGTGTCATAGTGGAGGTATTAGAGATGTTCATTGTGAGCCACTTCTTTCTGGACCTCAGTTTCCACATCTTTAAAAAGAGGGAGTGGAATGGGACTACAGGTCTCTTCCAGGGTAAAGGCTCTCTCCGCGTCAGGTCTTCCCCTCCAGAGCAGCATTAGGGATTGAGGAGGGGGTGGGAGAGCTGAGGGCAGAGGGCACGCACAGGATGCCCTGGCTCTGCTCTGCGCACTCACACGCACGCACTCACAGACATGTACACCTTCCCCGAGACTGACGTTCACAGAGACCCTCGGTCACACAGACACGGGGACACACACACTCTCATCCTTTCTTCCCAAGGTCCTTGTCATGACTAGGTGCCCTTTGTTTCTAGGTGCACATGGGAGTTAATAGTGTTACTGGTGATAAACAAGCAGAGAAAAAAACAGCACCATGTAATTTTCATGGTACTACATGTTTGTCACTCTTTAGCACCTCGTGTGCACAGATTCCTTCATTTGCTCATCCTGCACAGGTTTATTCATCTGCAACATCCTCGCTGTGCCAGTCACCTGGTTAGCACTGGGGTGACAGAGAGACTATAGCTTGTTATATGGATATCATTAAAATATCTTAAAAACATTAACTGACTGAATTATGTTGAGGTAGAAAGAGGAACAGGGCTACGTAAGACCGTCCATGAAATTCCAGGTAAGAATTATTCCTTTTTCCCTGGCCTACTTCCCCTGGAATCCTACTGCCTCTCCACACGTTGTAAGCCCTGTGGACGGAGCATTGTGCCGGATGCTCCTGAACTTGAAAACTTTGTGTTCTTTAAACTGTTTTCTTCTGTTCACCCAGTGCTTCAATTTCCTGTAAAATATATTTTTCTTTATTTCAGTCCTTGCCCCAGGGACATCTCAGAATTAATATTTGTGAAGAGAATATATTTGTTAAGTACCTTGTGCCTCAAGGACATAGTTGCTCTAAACTAGGCTGAAATTCTTAGTTTTTACTACTCTGGCTTTGCATAAAAAGAAATGCCTGACAGCCATTCAGCGTTTAATACACAGGAATCTATCTGTTCCTCGCAGTTCCACGCTTCCCGCTTCACTCTCTTCATCCCTCTAGTGTGTCTTGGTCCTGTGGGAAGAGGCTGTGGTTGTATGTGTGGGTTGAACGGACAGCCCGTGGTCAGTGCGGAAGGTGGTATTGAAGGCATGCGGGTCCCTGATGGGCAGGACGTACATTCTTGGCACTCTGAGTGCCTCTCGATCGGGCTGAGGCCAGGACACAGAATTTTAATAAAATGCTCCAGGGTGTGGAAGAGATTTTGGTAAGCCATTACACGCAGGAATCAGTGAAAACAGCGATCCCACATCATTTCATCCCCAGCTATTGACTTCATTTATCTAAATATTCGATTCGTTTTATTGAACATTCTATGCCCTCAGTCATCACTACCTCAAAGTATTGTACAAGAATTATTTTCCAAAAGGTTTTGCAAGTCTAACTAAGGTTATGTAAAGACGAAAATGGAGGTTTGGTCTGGGGGGAGGGAGCGTGAAAGTAAGTACCGGGGCTGGGGAGCGCATTGGTGACGGTTGCACAACAGAGTCATACAAAAGATAAACACCAATGGGACAGGCTGGTGTTCATCAGGTTTCAAAACAAGGAGTTCACAGGAAAGACAGCTTTCAAGTTCATAGGAAAACCATTCAAGTTTGTAGGAAGACAGCTAATCCTGGTGGTGGAGGCCGATGTGAGTGTGTGACTGTGTTTGCAGACAGACACGGCCGTGTGCTGCTGATCGCATCTTTTTGAAGCTGAGATTGCAGCAATTAGCGCAGAAAGAACTAAAAAGTAGGAATTACGAACGGTGTTAGGACATACCCATTTGGGAGAGGTATACTGAAATTTTAAGGTGAATAAATCATGTTTCAAGATTTCCCATTTACTACACTTTGTGTAAGAAAAAAGTTTTAAAAAATCTGAAATTCATTGTCTTTGTTTTGAAGGAGTAGGAAAGTCAGAAAATATTTCATTGCTTTTTGATGAGAGAATAATAAAATATTCTTGTTTGTTTTAGGTAGGTGATAGGTGAAATAGCAATCACATAAATGGTGATGATAGGTAAACTATCATGGACTTAATAATAAGCAATTTAAGTTAATTATAAAACAATATAGTTATCATTTTCTCCAATATTATTATCCCAATCAATATTGTATATTAAACTACTTAACAAGCTATTTTGTGTCAAATTTAGAAAATTAAAAATAACTTCACTTGCTTTTTATATATGGCTACCAAATTTTTGATGCATGTGAGAGAATTCATTTATTACATGAGTTAAGTAACATCAGTATTTGCTGACTGATTCCAAGTAACTCTAACTCCTTATCTTCTTATTTTGCAGCTTGGCTCATCCTCTTCGGTGCCTTTTACATCTATTTTCTCTCAGCTTTTTATGACTGTCGTGGTTCCTCTCGTCATCGGACAGGTAAGTTCTCCAATTCTGTCTGCTCTTTTCTTTACAGATCAAATTGTAAATTCTTATGAAATGTCAGGACAGGTAAGAAAAGAGATGGAGGAAGAGACCGTTAAATGAAAATACATGATTATGAAACACAGGTTTTATCAACAAACACAATAGTCTCACCTTTTTACGTTTTGTTTTTTTTTTTTTTAGTTAATAACAATATGCTTCACAGATAACTACATATAGGGACACCTGCACAGAATCTTGATTTTTTTACATTTATTATCCCTTCTTTATAGCTGTGCAGCTAGCTTGAAAACATGTAGTAAACCATTACCTTACTCTACCACTTCTGATGCAGCCTCAGGGTTTACGACCGCTGCTGGGGACAGGCATCTGTCCTTGGCTGGCGGCCTCCTAGGCACCTCCAACATCAGTCATCAGATCTGTGATCACATAATTGGTGAAATAAACATTTAATTCTATTAGCTCTTAAACTGGATCTTAGAAAATTTAGTTTCCTTCATCATTCTTGTTGGATTGGATAATAGAATAAATTCTTATCTTTTAATTTCTTACAACAAGGTAATAATAGGCATGTAATTTAATTATCAGCATACAAATTTTACAGCAAGGTTGTTGTCGATTTTTGTGTTTGTTTTGTTTTGTTGCTCATAGGTAGCCACAGTAAAGAAGGGAAGAATTTAATGCACCACTAAATGAGCAAGGCTTAGGGAACAAACAGTATGTTTGGATGATTAAGAGCCTAGATGTGGGTCAGAGCAACTAGAGTCTAGAATTAGTTCTACCTTTTATTTGCTGTGCGACTTTGCCAATCATTTCATCTCCCGAGCTCTAGATTCATAATTTATTAAATCGTGTAATAATACTGATGCCCATCTTAAAGGGCGGTTGTGAGGATTACATGAAATACGGATGCGTAGGGAGGTTTTGTCATTACAGAGCCTGACGCAGGTAGTCACACCACCACCATCAAATTCCCTACAAATGCTGCACAGAAGGCAGCTCTCTGAAGTATTAACTATAAAAATGATGTGCGTGTAGACATGTAATGTTTACATGCGGTCTTAGGTTGGGGCCCCGGGAAGTGGACTCTGAGACCCAGGTTGCCTTGCGGGAAGTGCACTGGGGAGCGCCCTTGGGCTCAACACCTTTGGGAGCTTGAGGAAAGGACGGGATGAGGGAGGCGGTGACTGTGATGCAGTCCTGCCATGGCCTCCACCCACCCCAGGGCGGGGCCTGGCGCTGGGGCACCTCTCGGACCGGACCAGGCACGAGTGCCTGTCCTGCCTCCTCCCGCTCCCATACCGGGTGTGACCTCGGGTGGATCTGCTCTCTAAGCAGCGACTCCCAGGGAGACTCAGCTGAGATCTTTCAGTCAAACCAACACACCCCGCAGAGGTGGGAACAGCACCCCATTCCTGAAGGGATGGATCTGGGAGGCGGCCCAGCGCATCCACTCTACATGTACTAGTCTTTTTATTTTATTTCAATTTTATACTTAGAAAAGGGACAGAACTTAGGATAAGGAGGAAGGATTTTAAAGCACTCAAAGAATACCATTTAATTACATATAGGTTGATACTTGAAAAAAAGACTTCTCCCACAGTGCTAATCACAGAACAGGTATTCAGAGTAAATATTATGTTGTGCGTGCGCGCGCGCACACACACACACACACACACACACACACCCCGCCCCCCCAACCTCTTTGTCACACTTCCTACACTCTTGCCTCCCTGGCTTTTTCTCAATTCCTGCTTAACTTCTTTGTTTAGGGTGTCTTCCCCGCCCCAGCTCAATTGCTCATTTGACTCTTTAATTCATGTCTTCTTTGAACCACCCACCTATCTAACAATTCCTAGTTATCTTTATGGCAGCACCTTGTCTGATTCCTTTCCTATCCTGTTTCGTTACTACATACCATTGGTTTCCTTGTTAACTGTCTCCCCCATTAGACCATAATGAGTACAGGAACCGTATTTGTTTTGCTTGCCATACCCAGAGCATAGGCACCCAGTCAGCATGTGCTGAATGAATGAATGAATGAATGACGGAGGGAGTGAATGAGTGAGCGTCCTACGATCAGTGAGGGAAGTGTTGTGTCTTAAAGAGACATAATACCGACCTGTCCTTCTTCAGCTCTAGGTAGCTTATGCTGGGGATAGTATTAGTTTAAACCCATACTTATTTTCTTGGTTCTGAAAGTAATTTCATGTACTAACCAGGTCTCGTACATTTTTCTCTTAGTGGATCTTGGAATTATGTCTATTAATGATAAGCGTTTAGCTTGAAACACAAGGACAAAGAAAAAATCTTTGTCTCGGTCATTCGACAGGTTTTTGTAAGGTATAGGGCTGTATAATTTATATAATTAAGAACATTCATCCAGAAGAAGTATGAATTGTGCAGTCGCTTATCCTTTACAGGCCCAGCACCGTCGCTTGTCTAAATGAGTGCACCTCCCAAACCCGCCTCTCGGCTCTGAGCCTCTTCCCGTTCCGTCCGCGGTCTTCACTGCCTCCAGGGTCGTCCTGAGAAACAAACCGGGTGCTCCTTAAAAACGCCCCTCGTGGCTCCCTGGTGCCCATCCCTGTGTGGCCCGCAAAGGCCTTCGTCATGTGGTGCCCCTCCCCTGTCACCCCACCACCCTTCATTTAGGCCCCTGTCCCGCCGTGCTGCCTGCACCCCAGCCCCCCGGGCAGGCCCCTCGCTGCTGCACACTTCTCACCTGCCGTCCCACCTTTTCTGCCCGCAAACGCCCATCCGTTCATTCCTTCAGACCCAGAACCGAGACGCCCTTTGATGTGCGGGGACCTCCTCTGACTCCCTGGCCTGGCCTGAACTCCAGTTCCCCCAGGGGCTTCATTCATACGTGTTTCAGGGGAGATTATAATTGATCTGCGAGCTTCCTGGAAGCAGAGACTCTATCACATTGTAAGAAGTATAGGTATAGCCTGTTCCGTCATAGGGGTGAGCTGTATACAAAGAGTGGCTGAAGAAAGTTTTGAATTTACCATCACGGAGCCCCCAGCAGCTGTTTTCCTGAGATCTCCAGCTTTGCTGGAAAGAAATGCATCGTGGGTCTCACCTTGTCTTAAACTCATGAGCCCAAGTGTAAAACGTTGCATCACGCTTCCTAGAACTCTCCCTCTGCCTTCTCGTAGGGCTGCTTCACCCCGACCTGTATTGTCAGGTCCCTTCATCTCCCCAACCCTCCCCAGCTGCCGTTCCACACGGGGCGCCCTGCCTGGCTCTGCCCTGCCCCTCGGACGTGCCGGCCTCGACCCAGCCTGGCAGACTTTGCACCCGTGGGCCCCGTGCTCGGCACACCTCCCCCCACTCCTGTCCCCTCCTCACCTGCTAGCACCCCATCCAGTGTAAGTCGCTACTTGATAGGATCGTTATCTGCTTTTTGTTTGTTGTTTTTGCTTTTTACTTATCTCTCCTAACTAGAAGGTGAACTCCAGGAGACCAGGGATCCCTCAGGAAATAAGAGTCCTATTCCTTCTTATCCAGCAAACCAGGCTTTTGACCTTTTACGTAACTTGTGTGGGCTCCATGTGCCTGTGTTTTCAGCTGCAGACTGAGCAGGAGAGTGATATCTGTATGACGCTTCTCATGAGAGGGAGATGGAGGTATAGTGGGAAAGAATGTTCAAATTGTCAAGTAGGTGGAGGGGACCTATTGTATTCATGTGTTATGATTCATTTATTATGATGTTTATACTTTTTTACAAAGTATACTATATTATTTTGAATCTACTCAATATTCAATACGAAATATTTTAAAAGAAAAATGTTTTATAAATTGGATTTTATTTTATATCCTTGAGTATACATTTCAACAGAATATTAATGAAGAAAAAACACTCTATGAAAATTTATGGATTCAACGGAATAGTGGATAAAAACTGAAGAAACAATCTGAAGCCACCTTGAGGAAAAATGAATTTTAAAATTCAGACTTAATGTGAAAAATTATCTATCATATATCCCCACTCAAAAATCAGTTTATAAATATAAAGACAGAGTGAGGGGAAAGCAAGAAAATACCCTGGGGAAAAAAACCCGGAAACTAAAATGATAGATATTACATTTCTTAGTTATCTCAGTATATGGGCATTCATCACCCAAGATGTGTTAGTTTCCCCAATTTCCGTCTTGCAGGCCACGCAGTAACTGATGTGCATCTTGGCCTGCTAGAAGCACAAGGATTGGGGTCAAGTCTCCCTTTACTGGTACTTAGATTAAAATTTAAAACATCAAAATATAGAAGATGATACAATAAAATAAATAGCCGCAGAACACTTTCTTCCCTTCTCTCTCCATAGGAAAAAGCAAGCAAGTGAATGAGAACTTGTCACGTAATTGTGAACACCAAATTTCTCTGAGCTTTGAGAGGAAGTGGAGGAGCATAGATTCTGCCGGCAGACACGCTGGCCACCTCTCCTGAATGGGCCCTTTCCCCCTCGTCTTGACTGTTTATTTTTCCCCAAGAGGGAATTCTGGAGGCATCAGTGTGGTTGTATTGATCTATCTTGAACAGAGTCTTGTTTTCTGTAAGAGTTTAAACATTTCTATAAGACAAAGAAGTCTGGGGCATTAGAAAATGACATGGGTGCTTGACAAATGGAGAATGATTGTATGAAAACTGTAAGTGGCTGGGCTGAGAGAAGCTGCGGTTCCCGGAGCTGATATCTGAAGCGCATCTCCGAGGCCTACCAGCTCCGCCTCACTCAGTCGTTTAGGAAGCACGTGAACACTTTTCTAGCTATACAGTGCAAACACAGCTGTTTTGTGAATTTAATTTTAAAGGAAGATGGAAAAGCTCTGTAGAGCCTGGCAAGGTATAAAATGATTTACTTAGAAAACACAGATAAATATCACTGTAAGACTAAAAACAGTGAAAGACAATCTCTTTTCCTCTAGGGTTATCGTTTCACTTGTCGGTCTATCCAATTCCCAACTTTCTCGTTGTTTTCTTTATCGAGATTAAGTGTCTGGATTAAGGCATTGATGTGTTTAGAAGAAAAGCATTTTAGCCAGAAGGATGCAGGACTCAGAAGCCCCCTTTACTTGTCGTGTTAAAAGAGCCCTGCATACTATGAGCCTGAGGATTTGTTATGAAGAAAGAGATGATTAGGTTAACTAAGTCAATTGCTGCTTACTAAGTTGCTGATTAGAGATCTGTCTTGATTTTGAAAATGGCGTGGACTTTCCAGTTACACCTCATTTGCACGTACTTGTTTACTTTGCCAGAGGGCAAGATGGTGGTGGGAAAGGCACTTTTACTTTTGGAATTAGAATCACACATTCTATAACCTATTGCAAGGAGGTCTTTGTGTTTTTAACAATTTTATAGGAAGACCACATCAATTTCAGTAACACCATGTAATTTCCATTTAGTCTATTATACTTCCTAAATGAGTTGAGTGGTATTAAATTTGGGCATCTGCCAGGTTCATGCTACCAAACACTAGATTATGAAATGACCTTTTAAATGAAGTCCCTCTGAAGCCCTCTAATAAGCAGCTATGCCCACTGTGGCATATGTGAATATGGGGCCATCTGGGTACTTCGAGTACTATTACCCAAAATTTATAATATTCCAACACATCGGTGCGCAACACTGTGTGACAGGCCGCTCTCACTTCTCTGTACGTCACTACGTTTTAACTTTAAAGAAAGAAATGAACCCTAGATAAATTCCCATGGTTTGGGATCACTTCTCAAAAAAAAAAAACAAACCCATAATTTTTTAATAAATTCGGCTGTAACTTTAATTACAAGATCTACTTTAAAAAAAAAAATAACCACTATTTATCTGTACATAAACCACACTCTTTCCCCTTCATTCCACCCACCTGAGCTTCAAAGTGTCGTCCCTATATCTTTCCTGTACCAGCTGGTCAGCTTTCTGCCAGGAGCCCTTTTGCTAACAGTTATTTGACTTACGCAGTCTTGAGAATGGACGGAGTTGCTTCAACAGCCATTTGTTCAGAGGTTCTCTTGAGAGTAGTTTATTTTGCTCTAGAGTGTCTGCGAAGGTATGTTCCATTGCAAATTAAGGCTTCTTAGTGACAGAGTAGAAGATGACAGAACCCCGTCAGCCTTGTCAGAAGTTCCCTGACCTCATTATTGTTAATGGATCATGGTAATTCAGCCTGTTGTGAAATCTCATGTTCAATTATGCAGGATAATGAGTGACTCAAAACTTAATATGTCTCAACTGTAGTCCCTATTACAGGGCTTGTTCAGCTTCTTTCAAAGTGAAAGGTTTTAACTACAGTGGTTCACTCTTACATCCAAATAAAAGTTATCACTTATATTCAGACTGTCCTGATTTTAAATATCTGATTTGGTTTTAAAATATGAGAGGATTGCCATATAACTTTATATTTCACTGGTTCTTGTACAGGAAAATTAGGACAGGTTGATTCATTTTTAATTGTTCATTCTGGAATTCTAAAAGCATGCAAATGGCATTTGTCTTTGGATCCACAAAAACTCTCGATATTCAGTTTGAATTATTCAAGCTCCCACAACACATGCACTTTTGCTTTTCAAGCATGAGTTATAATTTAATTAAAAACTTCTGGTGCATTGCTAGCATTTTAAATATTAATATGTTCCATGGATCACTTCCGATTATCTACTGTCTTGAAATTTCTTGAAGCTGTCAGATTTTTAAGGTTCCCAAAGTTGCACTTGGACTTGTCTGTTGAGGCAAAGGGGACCGTGATAATGACGCACATCCATTAGGATGAGCAGAGGAGACAAACTTTGGGGAGGCTTAATGGGCATGTCTCAGTGACAGCTAGCAAAGAGCATTTGGGATGATTAAGGACGGATTTGAATGCAGTTGAAAATACATTCTCATTATGGACACCGGCGGAAGTTGCGTTACAAATGTTAAATTCCCCCGAAGAAGAGCGGTGTGGCGGAGGAGCTTTGAAACTCCCTGTGGCCGCCATCCAAATCATGCTCTTCCCCACACGTCTTCCTGCTGTCGGAATTGTCTTGACGTGCCCGATTCCATCCCGCCCTCTCGGAAAAGCGACCCACCTGTTGATCTCTGTGTTTCAGATAGTGCGAAGGTACATCAAGGACTGGCTCGAAAGAGCCAAGCCTCCGTTCGGCGCCGTCAGCAGCAGCGTGCTGCTCATGATCATCTACACGACATTCTGCGGCACGTTCTCCAACCCGAACATCGACCTGGATAAGCTCAGCCTTGTTGTCATACTGTTCATAAGTAAGTCGCTGTCCCCTCGCCTCCTCAACAGCAAAGCGTAGCAACTTGTGTTTCCTAAATTCACTTCGGGTGTTAATTTGGTTAGAAAAGAAGGGTTCGTTTCATACTCTTATATATGCTCAGTGACGTTATCATGTGCACCTGTTTTTCAAAAGACATCAGTAATGGCCTCCGTCTTTTTATGTCTGATTTACAATGGTTGATGCCAGCTGAAGCAGCCATAGTATCTGTCAAATTCAAATGTTAGTTCGAACACTTTTTTGCCAATTAATAGTATCATAATTTAAGCTAATCTTATTCTTTAGCATGAATGAAAAGTAAGATTTCTACTCCATGAGATTATTATTTTATAATGGTTAAAATGTGAATATTTACATCATCTTTCTATTAAAATATACTCAAAGTAATGTAATTTTATTGTACGAAGTGGCAGACTATAATATGCAAGTGCTGTCTTAAAAATTTGTTAGTGTGTAATCTGTGGCTGCTTTCAATTAGAAGGCAGAACTGAATAGTTGCCATAGAAACCATATGGCCCTCAAGCCTAACATGTATTTTATGTGGCCCTCTAAGTAAACTTTGCTGACTTCTGCGCCGGAGGAGAGATGGCAAGAAGAGAGGTGTGTCCCTGGCTGACAGCATCAGCCATAGGCGAGGCCAGTCTGTCAAGCTTCTCGGTCTCTGTCAAGCTACCGGCAGCGCTCAGAACAATATTTTAAAATGTAATAAGTAATTAAAATACTGATTGTTAACAAAAAAAAAAAAAAGAAATCTTTTGTTTTACTTATCCTGTAATACCAAAGACAACTTTTGGTAATTGCAATATCTAATAATCTTATGTTAATAAAATCAAGATGAGTTATTCCAAAATATTTATTATAGCCTACTTCATTTATGCTATTTGCTGTAAATACTCAGTATAAACCAGCTGTCTGTAAACTGAACAAATTAAATAAGCAAATCTTAAATCAAAGAAGGTTTTAGATTTGTTGTGAGCAGTAGACCTTGTCGATTTTATCTGGGGATATCGTTCGTAAGAACAGGTTGAGTCCCACTAATTTAAATGATTTTATTGTTTCAGCAATCTATGCTTATTTATTCATTTGTTTGTTTTCCTATTTGAGTTCTCATAAATTTCAGATCAAATGAAGCATACTGGTAAATATGCTACAGATACTGCTTTTATAGCACTAATTTAGACTCAATCTTTTTTTTTTTTTCAGTATTTTCTATTCAGCTGAGTTTTATGCTGTTAACCTTCATCTTCTCAACAAGGTAAGTGATTTGGCATTTCTTGTTGTGGCTGGTTTTCTAAATGAGGATGCATGTTCTTGACCTGACCTCTATGCTACCACACTGTGCCCACCTTTCTCCTGTCTGCCTGGCCGTTCCCCCTGCTCCTGCCATCCTCCAGTTGAGACATTCTGGGAGGGTCAGTCCTTGGCCCTCCTCTCTTCTAGGCACGTGGTGGGTTCAGGCCGCCTCATGCATTCTGCCAGCTCGAGCTGTTGGCTGGCAGCTGATGGCTGGCAAACCCAGACCTGAGTGAGCTCCAGCGTGACTTACCACTTTGTCATTCACCACTTAGGTATCTTTACCTGACTGTCTTAACCAGACCCCATCCTCAAGATACTCAGAACAGAATTAATCTTTTTTCCCCAGCACTATCTCTTTCATTTATTTATTATTAATGGAACCACCATCCATAGAGTTACTCAGACTGGAATCCTTCACTTCATTATTTTTTTTTTAAAATCTCTTGATCCTACCTCTGTAATATTTTTTGTGCTCCCAAACCCTTGTCCCACTCAAGATTATTGCAATGGATATCTTACCGGTATTTTCACTTCTAGGCCTAACCTTCTTACGCATTTCACACCGCTTCCAATGACTCAAAGTTCTGAGCATAGCGCTCATGTGTAGCGCTCTTCATTGGTTATCCAGTGTCTGCAGAATGAAGTTCATTTTGGGGGGCTAAGGGCAAGGCCTGTCTCATGAACCACTCATTACTAGCAATCACACTGGCTAAGCTTTTGGTCGAGGTAAAAATCTTTGCTGTCCCCTGAAAGAGCCTGCGTTCTCATTTCTGCCCTTTGCTAAGGCTATCCCCGTGTCAAAATTGGTCTCCAATATCCTTGTTTATTTTCCCTGGTCCTAAAGGCTCATCTCTAACGCAACTTCTTCCACCCGTATTATACACTCAACAGATATTACTTGAGCCTTTGGTATGAGAAAGTTACCATAGTGAATGCCAGAAATGAGAGGTAATTTTGAACCTGCATGAGTTTATAGGCTAGATGTGTGCATTGATAATTAAGTGTCCTCTTAGTGGTACAATAAGTGAGCCTGTCCGTCAATCCAAAGAAAGTGGTAGTGCAAGGCTTCATGGAAGGGCTGGGGTGTCACATGAGTCACAATGAATGACTAATTGCTCTGCAAACAGAGATGCAAAGAAGGGGTTCTTGGTGGGAAAAGAAACAACAAGGCAAATGTGGGCACGCACACACGACATGCTGGGACAATAAGAGTAGGGGAAGATTAAAAACAGCAATAGGACCTGGAAAGGTAAGCTTGGGACAGACCGCGAAGCCCTTGAATGCCAGGTGCTGGCAGCGAGGTACCACAAGGGAGAGGGCCTGGGTCGTTTACAAGGCCTGACATGTCGGAGCAGCGAGGGTCTGGGCCTCACATTAGGTGGCTGGCCCTGATGGCACTTGGTACGGCAGGAGCCTGATCAATAAAAACTCATAGGTTGGTGTAATTGGAAGCATTTTTTCCAAGCGTGTGGTCATGATTTTTGAGTAAGAGTAAAGCCTAGAGCTACTGAGTGACAGAGAAAATGTGACCTATTTGGGTAAGTCTGAGAGTAGGAGCTATTGTAAAGAGTTTTTGGGTGTTTGTTTGTTTTTGTAAAAGCCTTGTTAGGTCACCTTAGAAAAGACGTTTGCCTTTCCCCAGCTGTTTGTTTGCTGGTCCTCGTGGCCGGGGCATCATCTGACCACTCCTCCCATCCTGTCAGACGAAGTCAGGGGCAATATCCTGTCAGTGACTGAAAAACTCTTGGAAAACACGGGGTAGCCACTGTTGGGATTGCCGGAGGAGAGATGGCGGTAGCACAGCTGGTTGAATTCGAATTGAGAATTTCCAGCCTGAAGTACTGTGCACTTTCATGAATTTTTGAGACCCTTTTACTCTGCCTATTTCTTCGCTGAAGTTCTGTTGTGTTTTGAACTTGCTCAGCCCAATGTCAGACGTGCCTTCTTTGATAAACACCAGAATATGGACTGGTCGTAGTCCTGCTCCTTGGTAATGGGTGTGTAGCCACAAGAGAGCCCATTAAAATTGGGGGATTTTTCAATTGAACAAAATTTGGAAAATGGTTTTCACTTGTTTTCCATGCTGAGCGGCCTTATAGCACCTGGGGAATCTATGGGAGGAATGAAATGGCCAACACTTCCTGAACCCTGCCCCGTGCCGGCAGTGTGCCAGGACCGTGCATGTGCCGTTTCTGGTAACTCCGGCAGCGGGGACCAGACTGTGCATGTTGCTATTTTGCAGATGAGGACCCACCGTGAGAGCTGTTTAGTTTACCACCTCGCCTAAAGTCAGATTTTAGTAGCAGTTTAGTGGCTTACCCAAAATCAGACGGCAAATTGCACACTGAGAGTTGAAATCCACTTCCATTTGCTGTTTCCAGAAGCATCGACCCGTGATTTTTCTGCTGCGCTAAACTACCTCAGTTACCTTTAAAATGCATAATGCTCATTTTGCTTAGGGAATTTATAGGGAATGTTTAACAGGATTCTTCAAGTTCACACAGAAACATAAACAAATTAATCAGAGATACCAAGAGTTGGAACAAGGACCTATCTGGTATAAGCTGTTGAATACAATTTTATTTTCCTACTTTTTTTCCTTCCTACTTAAAATTGGTGAAATCAGCCTGGGGGTTTCTTTCATCTTTTTGTTACCAATTCAGTAAATCTAAAACCAATGACAATATCAAGACACAAAAATCTCAGCATGGATAGCAGTCTTTTTTGTACAGCATGCGCGCTGACCTGCGATGATGGAAGTTTAGCATAAACCCAGGAGAGATCCAGCCTAGAAAATTCAACTTCCCTGCAATACTCTACTTACCTGGTTAACATTTCTTAGACTGACTGAGTGACATGTTGTCATTCTAGTGTCTGGCATGTGAACCTCTTCTACTCTGAGTGTTTAAAATATACTTGAGAGTTATTATTCTGGTTCTCATTGTTCAAGCTATAGAGCGGTGTTCAGGTTATAAATTCCACCTATGGAGCCCAAAGGACTTGAGTTTCAATCCTGTTTAATAACTTCGTAAGTTTTGTCACTTTCCTCATTTATAAAATGGAGACGGTAGTCATACCTATTAGCATTTCTAGCTTTGTAAAACATTCTTTCTGACGTTTCTTTGTCATAGTTTCTAGGAAATTAGAGTTGATTCATCAGACCAAGAGCCAGCCAGCAGTGACCTAAGCTTTCTACAACTTTGAGAAGCTGTCAAAGTTAAAAAAAAAAAAAATGTTGAAAAAACTTAGAAAAAGAAAGCAGTCTTTGGGAGCCTTTTAAAAATATATAAAAGACAGTTTGATAAGCAGATAACAGAGTAATAGAAACCTAGAATGTCACTAGAGTGACAAAAGAAACCATTAACAAGGGAAAAGGAAGAAAACAAATATTCAAATATTTGTGTAGGCCTTTTAATCCTTATCAGTACATTTGTCTCACTGGGCCTCCCACCATAGCCCTGGGAGGAGGGGGTGGGGGAAGGAAGGAAGGGAGGGAGGGAGGGAGAGGAGGAAGAGGGCGTTGCTATTAATAGTAAGGGCAATTTTTTTAGTGCCACTCAGCTAATGACACAGGAGGTCATCTCCCAAAATGAGCCAAGACAAAACGCAGGTCCAGAGGTTAACAAAGGAAAGCACTTCACAGGGAAGTTTCCTCCTCTCGGCACATCGGGCTCAGGCAGGATCTCTCAGAGGAGCTTTCATACCCCACATTCTGAGAGTCTACCCGTAAAACCTTCTGACATGTTTTCCTCTGTGGGTACGGCAAAGGAAGGCAAAATAAATATCATGTGGAAAACACTGATTGAAAGCTTTGTAAGAGAATAAAAAGACCAGCTGGGAAGGAAAGGAAATAAACATCTCAAGGGAAGCCAAAGTGATCAAAAGAATTACAAAAACAGGATAAAAAGAAAATCAATATTAAAAAGAGATAAAGTAGAATTAGAAAATAAATAGTAATGTGATTCCTTTCGAAAATGTGAGCAGACACAATAGAGATGCTAATCGCTGAAAATAATTATAGGCATTACTATTTAAATACAATGTACAGCTCTCTCTGTCTTTCTGTGTCTAGTCTTGACTTTCTACCATCAAGCCCTCCCTCGAGAGTATGGCTGGGGGAAGGTCGCTGAACAAGATAACTGCTCTCATCCACTAAATTTTGTGGTGGTTTTTGTTTTTGGTGTTTTTTAGACTTTTCTTCTCAGAGGCAACCTCATCTCCAAGATCTGGGGCAGCCCACTTGTCAGTTGTGTGACTTGACGGAGGTCATTTAACCCTCTTGTGCTTCGAGTTCCCTTTGTGGAAAAAGCAGGGCAACAGGACTGTGCAGAGAAGGGAGAAGCACAGGCAGCGAAGTGCTTAGAAAAGAATCGGTGTGTCCTGCTGCGGCTATTCAGCCCCATCGTCGTCCTCCTCTTCGTGAACGGAGGATGACGTGAGCGCCTGCTGCTCTGTGGGTCCCCCAAGATCCAGGACGTGAAGTGGTCTCTTACTTTATAAACAGAGTACAAGTTAGCCCTGTTTCAGGGGGATATTGTTTTTAACCTTAAACATTCCGTTTTTAAGCCTCCGCCCCGACTGACAAACTGTCAGTAGAACTGTAGGGCCCACAGCTTCCCGGCATGGGCCTAGCTTCGGCCTCCTTCCCTGAAACAGAGGACAATTAAGCCTGTCTGCCGGTGCCCTCTTCAGCCATGCCACGTGCTGCTCTGACCGAGGGGCCTTCTCGACCAGAGAGATTTTGACACGTTGGAAATGTGCTATAATCTGGAAGGGGATAAATATGAAGCAGAACAAAGTTCACCACAGGAGACGTGTATGGGCCACCTCTCTTGGGAGGAAACCCAGCTGTGTGAATCCAGCTGCAGCAGCCATCGGTTATAAACTAGGGTAGCAGACGACTAGAAAGAAGGGCCTTCATAGTGTTGCAGACACCGCAGGCACTGCTGGCCGGCAGCCCAGAGCCAGCCCAGGTAGTTATGCTGCGGGCTCTACAGTCTCGGGTGCACGTCCTTTCCTGTACCAGTTTTGTGTCCGTTGTGAACTGACTGTGTGTCCTAGTCCCCAATCTGCCTACTGCAAGCTTCTCTACTTTCTTAGGTTCCCAAGCCTCAGTCTACCTCCAAAAGCAAGTGAAATCTCGGATATAAGTTGCCTCCACTTTCCCATTCTCTACCTGAAAATGTTCTGTACTTTTCACTCACCTTGTCTTCTTTTGTTCACAGCTCACAGACTAGAGGAGACACCCCTTCCTAGACTGACCTCCCCACCCCCAGTCTTGTCTGGTAGGGTGTCTTAGAGGCCCTGGCTTCACCGTTGTTTCTGTCTGCTGCCTCTTCGCTCCCTCAAGATAATCATGTTCAAATCCCCCATGACCCTCTTCTCCTCTTCACCAGATTTCCTGGAAACACCGTTCCCTCTCACGACTACTAGTTCCGTACACTTGGTTGTGAACTCCTAGGCCTCCTTCTCGGCTGGCATTGGGCCTCCTCCTTTCATTATTTCTAGTAAGGCCTTGTTGCTTTGCTCAGCCTTATATGCTCAAAGCTCCAATTTCTCTTTAATCCCTCCTTCTCTGACAGAGCAACCATAACAGCAAAATAACTAGCATATATTAAAAATTTGCAATGTGCCGGACTCTTAACAAACATGAACAATTATCCTGACAGCGACCCTCAGAGGCAGGCAGAAAGATGGCCTGGGTTTAGGTTTCAGTGCATTTGCCCCAAAAGGCTGTGCTCTTCAGCTGTCGGGAGGGAACACTGATTTCATAGGGGTCAACCCTTGACAAGTTCTTTTAATTCTGTCTTCCTGTCGCTTACCCCCATCCCCCGCCCTCACCGTAATTCTGGTTCTCCCTGCCTCGTCTCATCATCTTCAGCCTTTTACTGTGCTGTGTGCTGACTCCTCTTTAACCTCCTTGTCCCATCTTATCAAGGCCACACTCCTTGTCACAAGCCGGCGTCCCTGCACACAAGTCAGCCTGAAGAATTGCTCACTGCCAATTGCCCCCGCACTCCCATACTTCAGCTTCACTATCCCTGACCTAACATACACATCTGCACCTGTCTGAGCCTGTTCTTTAAAGGTCGGCTTAATTGTCATTCCCTTCAAGAGGTTCTCTGTGTGCTCCATCCTCATCCCCCACCCCGCTGCCACGCTTGAGATAGTCCTTCCTTTCAGTGCCAAAACTCACTCACTCCCTCTCTCTCTTCCCCACGCCCCCGTCCCTCTCTCTCCCTCTCAGTCTCAATCTCTTTCCCTTTCACAGAGTATATATCTGTCTTCCTTTGTTGCACGCATTTACAGAACCTCACAGAGTCCCTTTCACATGAGGCCTCCATAACATGATGAATAAAGGGGTCAGGGAATATGTCGGCCCTGTTGTACAGTGCTTGAAAAATAGGAATGGTATCACAACATAAGTAGGAGAATGACATGGAGGAGCGGTAAGGCAATCTTATTATACTCAAGTGATATATGTCCACAGAGAATTCTCAGCCGAAGTGAGACACCAGCAATGCAGTTTGGAAAGTTGTTATCAAAAACTGAGCTGGAGATGAGACAGTTTAAGAAGCATGAGCCTCTGCAACTTCCCCGGGGAGAGACTGAAGGACAATTAACTGTTCTCTTAATATAGGCCTGGGGTGGGGAGGAGAGGGCCCTTCTCCCCTGCAGGGAGTATACAACAAAGAAATCAGGACGTGGGGACCTGTTTAGGGAAGATTTCTCCCAATGGGAGTTATATATGAGGCTGAGGTTACTGAGGGGAATGGTGGGATCCCTTCCGTTAGAGATCCTCAGAGATTGGATAGATTGTTATGTCTGCAAGGATGCGCATGCGGTCAGGTTCCAGAGCGTTTCTCCACTTGCTGACTCCTGCCTGAGTTCAGGGCAGGGAATGAATAGACTTGCTGTGTCTTCAAACCTCGATGCTGCAGGAAGGAATCATTTCTAACTTACGAAGGACACAATAATAATAACTACCTTTCTAACCTTTGTCCTGGCTCTCTAAACCTTTATAATCCAAACCAGGAAATCTGAATATGATGTGCGCCATGACCCCCATAACATTTAACAGCTTTTGAGCAAGAGAGATTTTTTTTTTATGCTAAACATATTATTCAAGAGGGTTCTCTGTGTTCTGTAATAGTGGAAAATAATAGTTAAGAGCATAGCATAGACACAGGACCCAGACTTGATTGAAATCCTGTCTTTGTCACTTGCTGGCTCCGGGGCCCCAGGCAATGAATGCACCTTCTCTGTACCGCAGCTTTCTCAGCTCTACGTAGGGATGCCTGTCCCACAACGTGCCCATCTTGTGGCATTGTTATTGTTACATGCAGAGTACTTGGTTGATAGATGGTAACTGCTGCAAGTGATAATTTCGGGGTTTTTTACTAAAACATATGATGTCAAATCTTTGTTCATACCATGTATTTCTCAAATGGGTGTGTTTGTGGCCGAAAGGGCACCGTCGCTCCTTGCATGAGCGGTTCTGGAGATACATTGACTCTTCCAAGCCACCAGGTGAGTGTCCGGGGGTAGCCGGGCGCCTGAGCTGACGGAGTCCGTGCTGCATGATTTTCATAGAGTCCCTCACCACAAGCTGAGGACAAGTGTGACCTTAGGAGACCTCTACCACACAATTTTACAATTGTCTCCTTTTCAAGGATAAATGACTTGGAAATGGTTCTCAAAAAAGAAATTCAGACACTTCTGCACATTTGGGCATAGAATCACCTCTGTCACCAGGACTGATTAAAGGGACGTTAATACGAAGGCAGGTGCTACATTTGATTTAGGGTATGGTAAATAGGCTTTTCATTAAAGTATGTGTAAAGCACTTTCTTTTTTTTTTTTTTTTTGCCCCTAGGAATAATTCGGGTTTCACACCAGCAGACACTGTGGCTATCATTTTCTGTTCTACACACAAATCCCTCACATTGGGTAAGTGATTCACAGACTTACAAACTAACTTTACCCTCAGATAGTTAAATCTTATGACTATGAAATTCGAGCAACTCTTTAAATGAAATGAAAAAGGTATTGTCCTCTCTGTTAAAGAACACCAGCGAAGTGAGAATGGGCCATTGCTTTGAAATACCTGTATATGATTGAACCAATTTTTGAGGGCCTAAAACGTCTTTCCGATTTTCACAAGAGGTTTTCAATCTAGAATGTTAGTGTTAAAGGCTGAGGGTAGGGACCCAGTGGGCAAAAACCTGGCTTTGGAAGGCTCTAAAGTTGCCCCTGGAAAATGTTACCTTATTTTCTGAAAGCTTTGGAGCAAGGTGGAGATCATGTTATTTCTCTGATTTGATATTCACATTAGCTCAGAGTTCATTTCAAAATGTTATATTATTTCTATAAAGAAACACAGTATAATTATTATTAACTCAATCTGATTAGTGCCTAAAGGGAGATAAGTATTTATTTAATGGACAAAAAAATAGATCAAGAAGAAAGATGCTGTTTTCAACTTAGTTTTATCCCGTTTCGTGCTTTTATCCCAATAACATGTCCAGTCATCCAAACCTATGTTTTCAGTCATTAAAAGTCAGTAAGTAATCAGAAACCTTACTGAAATATACGTCATTCACAAACTCCTCGGGCGAGTCGGGCGCACTGTGGTAAAAACACGTCACAGAAACTCCTCTGCACTCTGGCACGTGACTCACGGAAGGGAATGAAGAACCGGGACCCTGCTGTAAGTCTGTACATGGTAAACGAGTTCAGCCTGAAGCTGGAAAGCAAAGACTTTTCATAATGTTTTTACTAATCCCACACACTATTTGTCTAATCAAATCCGTTGTCGGTCTCACCAAATTTGGAAAATGATTTAGAAATTGGATAAACTCTTTAAGGAGCAGTTTCTATCTAGGGCTTCAGCTTATTTGAATAAATTATACACACACACACACACACATATGTGTGTGTATGTATATGTATACTGTTCATACATTGCAGTATGCTTGGTACGTTTTCTTTATAATCATCATCAAATTGAAGTCGAAGGAGCTTTGAAAGCCACATTGCAAACCTGATTTTGTGACCCTGCACAAGTCACTTAACTTCCCTGAACCTTAGCTTTCTCATCTGTAAAATGGGGAGGTATAATCCTCACTTTGTAAGGTGATTGTAAAGATTAACAATGGCACAGTACTTAAACATAATGGGTAGTCAGTCCATGCCAGCATGTGTGTAAATTACTGTGGATAAATGAGATCACCCGCCAGAAGAGCTAGGCGTGCTGCCGGGCACACAGCAGATACTCTTTCAGCAGTAGCTGTTGTTATTAGTTATTTTCTATCTCCAGTAGTTACGACTCTGTTACCATTTCCAGGGTTCCAACCTCCTGCTTTGTAGATTTTCACATAAGAGATGTGGTTTAATTGCGGACCTCCAAGAAATCACCTTACACTTTTCCCCCATGTGGTTATTATGATGTGATGTCTGGATGTCCTTCCGGGTCTCCTAAAAAGTAACGGGCTGTTATAAAAGTAGCGAGTCCAGAGGCAGGTGCCACTAGACACCTCAGAGGTCCCGACTCAGGGATCCAATGAACCCGGGTCCTTAGGCAGATGCCGAGCCACGGCCGCAGCAAATGCACTTGAGCCTTTGTGCTGTGGGCTTTTGAACCCGATCCACCCCTAGGGGGTTACTTTTGTCAGGAAAACAAAATGGATATTTTGGTTTCTCCCTGATGTTCTCTGTGCTGGACTAGCGGTGTTGAACAAAGAGCTCCACCCAGAAGCATATGCCTCCTCTAACAGTAGCCTCTTCTTTGTAAGCAAAACACTTACTCACTCTGTCTTTTTGTTTCTTCGTCCTTCTTAATCCCAAACCCATACTCTTCTATTCTGGATGCTTTCTGAAAGCGAAGTTTCAGAAAACAGGAGCTCAAAACCCATAAGATAGAGCTGTTTTGTTAAAAACGGTTGGGTCCACTTGGATTTTGTGTGCCTTTGTAGTGTTCTCTCATTTGATACTAGTGTAATTATCTAAGTAACCATGTAGTGTAAATCCTTAGTTACTTCTGTAATGTGAGAGGCTTAATCTCTCTTGAAACTATAAAACCTAATACTCCTCCTGACTCGTCGTCTGATACCTCCCCAGGCCTTGTCTCTGCAGCTCTTACATTAGGGACGTTTAGTTCCAACCTGACCATTTTATGATCCCTTGATCATATCTGGCTTCCTTCCTGCTACAACATTTGTAGAAACAGCCCTTTTGCTGCTCCCCTGTCTCAGACAGGTGGCACGACTGCCCCTGCCCCAGGAGCCCCCTTATTTCCACACAGAGCAAGGGCTCTTTGGATCCTCCTGCTGGAATGGCCTTGGTAGGCCCTGAAGTTTACTCTGTCAGTTTTCACAGAATCCAGTGCACGTTTCCATCTCCTGGTGACCTGACATAGCTGGTACAGAGGATATGTCATGCACTGACCTAATGCAACTTCTTATCTACATGGGTAAAAATTATCCTAATGCAACTTCTAATCTGCGTAGAAATGAAGGAACATCACACTGAGTGTGATGCATACGTATTTCAGCAAAAAGGAGGAAATTTCAGATAATTTCACTTGGACTTGCGCTTTCTCTCACCTCTTACGCATAGACGAAATACAACAGATTATACCTGCTTGGTATTTAGAAAATATATCTATCTATCCCTTTTGCAGTCACTATCATAGTATTCTTGTAGTGGTTTTACATACACGCGCACAACGTCTCAAATAGAATCCTTAAGAAATAGCATTCACTCTAACACCCAGTATTTGTATTTAAGAATACACCATTGCAGGCCATAGAACCAAAGATGAAAACTCTTGCTTGAGCAGCCTTCTGAATATTCTCTTGTACATACACTTTCAATTTATTTTATTGTTCTTGCTTTTGCCCTGTCTCAATCTCTTCCATGCACTTGCGCTTACCCACATGCTGAATTTGATTCATTGCTTTTATTAGTGCATTTGCCATTGATTGATTAGTTCTTCGTATTAGTACTTTTTCTATTGATTGATTGCAGATGAAGTGACTATTTGACCTTTAATTATGAGGCTTCCTATTGAAAATGACATTGAGCTATGGCTTCACATAATCCATCTGGAAAGCCCGACGTGATGCCATTCCCTGGAGTTCGCTCAGGGAGCCGGAGGAGGCCTGCAGGACGGGCAGAGCCGAGGCCGGCCACACCTGAAACAGTGCGGCCGAGCCTGTCTGCTGGGCTCCGGTGGCTTCAGCTCAGGGCAGGACATGATTTGATATTTTCTCAAGACAGCATCCCATGCTGGGGGGTGCCATGAAAGCAGGGAACTCGCCCAAAGTAGTCTCTAGCTTGACGCTGATATTCGTATGATAATGAGAAGGTATTTTACATCGCAGAGATTGGAGAACAGCTTGTACCCTAGTTAACAATGGCTCAGTGCACAGTCGGTCAATAGATCTCATCAAGAAGGAAATTCGATCCGAGACACCCTGTGGAATTAGTGTTTTACTTTTATTTTATTTATCTTTTTCTCTTGCGTATTCAAATCATTTTGCTTGTCTAGAGCTCTAATAGAAGGAGAAAACTTTCTTACTCTACCTAGAAAGAGAATGTTTCAGGATGTTTGATATCCTTAAGTTAAGTGTATCTTTATATTAGCTGTTACTTTTTTTAAACAGCAAATTGAAAGCATATGCCCTGAGAACATGTCAGCTGACTGTTGGGAGGTCACTTGTGAGACTCCTGCTTGTTTCTTATTTCCAAAAGCATTTCTCAGTTGAAAGAACGCTATTTAAATTTTAAATAGAGTGTCATGATCGACATTTATTAAAAGTCCACTATGTGTCTTACCACTCATAGACTCTTTTGTACAAAGGCGAACCAAGCAGCTATTCCTCACAACCTTTATACATTATTGCCAGTCTGTGGCTGAACTGTGACAAGAAGCTATGCATTATGCAAAAAGAATATAACTTTTTCGTAGGCATCAGGTTCTGGAAAGAGTAGAAAGAACACAGACCTGATTCTAGTCAGGATTCAAGTTGCAGTTCTCTCCACAGAAGCTGGACCACATCACTTAGCTGCTGTGGGCCCTGCTTTCCTCAGCTGTAAAATGAGCAAGTCGACTGGACCGGGCTCGAGGTCCCCTCCACCTGTGAGTGTCCGAGTCTGTGCCCGCGGCTGACATTTCCTCCCTGAGACAACAACAGACTCCCAGATATAGATGGAAAGGAAACAAGTTCTTGAAAGGAACAGTTCTGTAGATAATGTTACAATATTGCAGGAAAGGGAACAGGGCTGTTGCTTCTTCCTAAAGAGATTTAAAAATATCATCACACTCTCCAAAGATTTTCATAGGAGAAACAAAATCTGAAAAGGTTCTTGTGTTCCATTTTACTTGGAAGCTTTTCAGCAATGCTAAATGATTACCTGCAACTTGGGCTGAAAGCATCATTTAATGCCATCTACGTTATTTTCTCAAGAGGAAATGGAATTGAAATACGAAAGTTTGCCTTTCTGTTTTTCTTTTTTCCTAAAGCTTATCAGTGATTCCACTTGGCACATGAAGACTATTAATAAAACTACCCTTCCTACAATGGGGAGTTCTTTTTAACAGCACTTAACTTATTAAGTCATGTTACCTGAACCAGATAGAATATTATCAAGTCAGTAATTATCTTATTTTGCATACAGAAAAATGAAAGCATAGAAAAAAACTTAAGAACTTATCCCAGATCGTGTAGAGGCTGGATCTTGGGCTTGCAAACATCCAGCACTGCATTGGATAAGAGGATACAAAAGCACTTAGAAGACCAGAAAGTGCTCTACTGGTTCCACATATGGCAATTGAGCAGGCTCAGTGTGGGTTTGGACTGTTTTATCAATTGTTTAAAAAAGAAAGTTATTTCTGATTGCATTGCTGGTTATAGGATGGTTTTACTGGTTGCATTGCTGGTTATAAG